CTTCAACTCCGAGTGTGTCCCTGAACTCACGTTTGACCCCCTGACTTCACGACACCAAACACTTGCATATTGACCAGGCTCACGTTACAACAGTGTAAAGGTTCGGATTTTTTTTTAACCTTTTTATATCATAAAAATAAACTATGTTAGGTTTAAAATTTGCATTTATTGTAGTTCTTTATTTTGAATTTCTGATCAAGGGAGGAGCTCAACTCCTGACATTAAAAGTGAAAATGCACATTCAACGGCAATATACGCCATTAATTTATGTACATGTGTACGCGTATATACACACAGATGCATACAGACGTTCCTTTAATATTTTTAATATAGCTGTTTTCTTGTGTGTCTAATCCCAGTGTTACGTGGCTTTGCTATCATTTGTTACTATCTTATACGGAATAATGAGAAAATACTGTTTTTCATGATTGAGCAGAAAACTTTTATCCCGCAGAAAACTATTTGTAACTGTTATCCTATAAAGTGTAACTAAGCTACACCTCCTTTTCTGAGGTCTATCTTTTGTTTGCTTTAGAAGCATTTGTATTAAATTGCTTAATATATGCAGTGACGTTTTCTGCTTTAAGATTTACATAGTAATTACAAAACACAATACAAATTATCCAAATGCCACGAAAAACCCGCTGCAGACTTAAACAAAAACAATAACAGAAGTAGAATATTTAGTGTCGGTCACCAATCTAAACGAGAAGAACAGTAATTATGCTGTATTGCCAACAGCTGTTGTTGTTGTTAGAGCTGAAATTGGTGTGGTCTGGCAGTTGCAGTAGAAGCTAGCATGTCAGATGAAATTGAAATGGCTGACCTGAAACTGGTTTCACTAGAATTAAACCAAATAAAAACCCTGACTGAGTATCAAAACGTTTCACTAAGTCAAAGCACAAGTCAGCAGAAAAAAAAAGTTTGATGTTTGGATATAAATCGTCGGTGTTTTGAAAGCACTCTAATGAATTGAGATATTTGCCTGAAGGTTTAATTCAGGAAAACATAAGGTTCGACGGAGTGCGGACAGCAGGTTACGCCATTATTCTCAGTTACTGCAAATGCAAAAAGAAGGGATCAGAAAGAAGAAGTGGGGTCATGTGAACTGGTGAGTGCAGTTTCTGTTTACAGTTTCTGATTAGTTCAGCTCTTTTTTATGCAACCACATTTTTTTAAGACACAAAGATAAACATTACTACTTTTCAAGGGTAAATCCCTTAAAGAAAATGGAAAAGGTCACCATTCCTCGGCCAATCTGATGGACCTTTCTATTCAAATGTGGTGGAGAAGAAATGTAAACCTTGTCATGGTGGGCGGCTAAAAGGGAACATTAAAACTTCACACATTACATCACGATTGGGACAACTGAAAACTGTTTATCCACAGACTCGGCAGCAAATCACGGGGAATTCTGTAATGTCTCCTTTTGACACCGTTTGTCTCCGACTGCCCTTCAGTGTTTTCTGCTTCTCCAACAAAAGACCTGGGGTTGCATCACAGCAGGAGCCAAATGGTAAACACAGTCAAAGCAAATATGTGTGTGTGTTTTTTTTACCACTTCCTTAAATTCTCATAACCACAGCACACTGTTCAAACTGTTATTTTCTACAGTTGTTAGTCAGGTCGGTGTGATTTATCCTGGTCCTTTATTTCTCCTCACAAGTTCATAAACGGTCGCACTAAAATCTACAACACACACTCAAGTTACTACCCACATTGGACTTTAAAGACCTGTGAACAATCATACACGTGACGATAACAACACAGCAAAAATCAGTTCACATCACATGACAATCAGTTCCTTAAAATGACAATGAGCCTTCCAGAGGTCCACAGGCCCTATGTTTGACACCCATGTTTTAGAACATCTAGGACAGAGGCTTGTGATATCCCTACATTAAAAATATATACTAATATTTATTTATATATATATACTGATATATATACTGATTCAATTATTCAAACGACTGTGATGATGTGTAGTTTCACAACTCCATCTGCATTATTTGGATAAGCCAGACAGACGCAGAGAAATTGCTTGGCAACTGAGCAACAGCCCCCATAGGAGGCCGCTCAGAAAGAAACTGTAACACAGATCGAGAACACAGACGACTCTCCAAAAAGTGGCTCCAAAAGGAGCTCAGACAAACAAGTGAAGTGAGAACGACGTAAAGCCGAGCAGTGAAACACAACTGATGACGCATAAGACCGATGGGGATTTTTGTTTTTTTTTTTCCATTCTCAAGCAAACGTGCTCACACTGCATGCACACATAGACACAACATACACGGGGTAATCTCTAACTAATCACTTCTGCAGGTCTTGCACAGAGCTACTACACCCCAGCGATGAACAGATGGACCCATGTACTTAAGACAATGCTGATCTAGTCCCGTCTGGAGGATAGAGGTGCTGGGATAAAGTTACAGAGAGGCTCTATCCAAAAATCTCCTGTGGCTCTCTTCAATGTCACTGAAAGACATTTGTATCTAACCCAGTGTAATTATGTATCTACAAAGAACCGACACTGAATATATAACCATGTTGACTGAATACTTCTCTTCCCAAGAACACACACCCACACGGACTGTACAGTATAAGCACTGTTGGCATACGCTCTGTAAACGACGAGCAAATGCTTGTGTTGTGATGCGCAAATCAATGGAGGAAACAGCACTCAAAGCGCGCTACGGCAAAACCTCAAGGTGTTCAGATATCTATTCTCCTGTCAAGCAGCAGTTATAGCAACGGCTGTTACGGTGCACCTGTGGAGGGCACTGCCTGCGCCGAGGAAGAGAGGGAGTCAGCTGACTTTAAAGTGGAATTTGACGAAATGTTGAGCAGAAACATTTTTTCCCATCGTAAATAGACGCCTAATAAGATGTGCTCCTGTGCATTCCATTAATCCATGTATGACAGCAACGACTTGTACTTGACAAGCCAAAACAAATGTAGGAAACGGTTACATCAAAAACACCACGGCACCAACAAATAGCTGATCAGAGGTGGAGGTAGTGAAAGTGAAAGCTAAGTGGGAAAAACTACTGGCACAAACAAAGCTTTCGTATTCCAGCCTGAAGCAAATAACGTAGAAAGAAAATTCCAGAAAGATTCTTCCTTTGACATTTGGAGGTCTGGGGACAGTCAACATTTGGAAAGAATTACTTTGCGTCTCCTAATTTGGGCTCAACTTTAGCTGCGGCTCTTCTTAACCACTCAATCAAACAATGCTGACTGTTAACACAAAGTAATGAATAAAATACACATAAAGTAGTCCAGGGAGCTGAGGGATACACGACTCAAGTGGCCTTTTCTGAGTGAAACAACACCACCACGGTACTGTAGCGGCATGCGAGTCATGAGTCTGAACCAGTGACCTGCAGGTCATATGTTAAGTGTTGAGACCAGCAGCTCCACACAGCCACACTAAATATTGATATGGAACATTCCACAGACCCCTCTAAATTGAGGATGAGTCAGAGGTTCCTCCATAAAAGAAATGACTTGAAAAACTATTAGCGCTTAGGAATATGACAGATTAATATAGCCTTTAAAAAAAAAAGAATTAGGTTTTCTGTCGATAGGAACCACAACATAAAAGTACAACTTTTTTCAATCAATTAGATTTTTTAAAAATATTTTTTATGATTACAAATTAATTTATGCTCCAAATATTTTTTGCCAAAATATTTAACAATTTTTGCAGCCAATTTGAGAAGACAAGCTGTTTGTTAATCAGTGTTATCAGTATATCCATGGTAATTTATACCTCTGTTTGGTAAAACGTATTTACTGTTTAATCAACAGATAACAGTGTTTATAAGATAACGGTGCATATCTGAGGTCATTTAGTCATGTGGAATCCTCCCATTGCTTTCACAACAGTAACAGACCCATTCGTCAGAAAAGACAACACAGTTCTGCTTCTTTGATGCTGCTGAGAAACTTAAGACAGATGTCAGATTAAGTATTTTCTTGCTTTGCTTCAATAATGTAACAATAATCTCATTTCTGAGCTTTGTGTAGAAAAATAATCAATTATTTTTTCTTAACTCTGTTATGCTTAGATACTGCGCAAAATGTTTTGACACATTAAAAAATGATGGAAGAAATTACTTGGAAGGCTCGCCTCTTTCCACATACTCTCAAAGTTTCTCCTGTTTGTTATCATTTCAGTCCACAAAGGCTTCAAACTTCTGCTCCGAGCCTCACTTCCCATTTCCGATTTGCGTCCAATCCGAAAGCGAAATATGCAGTGGCTGAGACAAGACAGGCTACGACTCTACACAAAGTATTGTTCGTGGGTGAACCCACGCCACACCCAAAACACTCCCCGCAGAGTAACTGTGCAGGGGGTTCACCGCCAATGAGCTGTCTACACACAGCACAGCACAGAGAGGCTGCAGTGGGCATATGGCTGCTGAAGGAGCTCTGCCAGACAAACAGCAAAAATATATAGGTCAACTCAAAAAAGGCCCCAAATCTCATTCACTGGATAACTATGTTGGGACTTTGGTAAACAATGTAAAGGCTGCAATGTGTAATCCCTACACATCACACTCTTTGGTAACGACTCTGTCCACTGGTGTGTTTTTAAAAATATTAGCATGTGAAACTCCAGCTAGCAGGAAACGTTAGCCTACAGAGAGGAGCGCATGATGATTTTACTAACACGATTATCATAGTCTCTCCTGCAACTGTGCGGTGGGACGGCTGCCTTCACGTGGGTGGAAAAGATAATTTAAAATGTCTAAGACAATGTACTACAACGATATCTAGAGAGCACCAACTAAATTTCGACCTGTGCTCCCGTCTCTCAAAGGATGACGATTTACTGAGATAAAAAGAGAGCGAACCCGCAATTAAAAACAAACACACCCTGAGCATTGGTGGGGCTTTTAAGCTAACTCCATCGATAGCTGGCTGAGGGAGGTAATTATGTAAAGGGATGCAGCCAAGGATAACAAAACTTTGCCTCCTAGTGTTCGTCAACTTACCGAGGTGCCGCTTTTCTCTTCCCTGTTTTCGCAGCTGATATTCCAGCGCGTTCATGAGAAGACAGTGTGCAGCTAACAGTTCTCCGGCTAACGCCGTGCACACGACGATGCGTCTCTCAACAGCTGTCCTCTGTTTTGAATGAGGGTTGAGGAGAAACACGGCTGCTGGGCGGAGCTTACCGTGAGCGGGTGGAGCATGACGCTCATCACTCCGCACAGCCAGGTCACGATTAGACCTATGTTGTTCTCATGTTTTTCCAGTCCACCGTAAGAAGAGATTTTTGGCACAAGGCTGCGACATACGGTTAATAGGAGGCTTTGACCCGTTGTTTGATGTAGTGACGTCAGGACGTAAGATTTGAGCAGCACTCAAAGTCCACGTCTTAGACTGTGGCTCCCCCTAGTGGCTTAAACATGTTACTTTAAATGTCCTTGTAAAACAATGGCTGGAGCGAGGTCCCGATTTTGGGGTTGCAGCCAATTCTGTGTATCAAAAGCTGCTGACAACCGGAAGTTGTAACGCTGACGTCGGAAATATTCATCACTGTCAACAGAAAGTACCTTGTTCTTTGATGAACGGTTTAAGAAATGTCGACAACAATATGTCGAAAGATAATTGTAATAGAGGTTAATAGTTATGTAGTTATAATTCCACAAAAAATATTAAATGTATTAAACACAACGCAGAGGCTACACCGGTTACATAATGTCGCTCTATCTGAATCTTTTTTGATAAATATTAAATTGATTGACAAAATATTAAACCGCTATATTAATATTTGGCAAATAAATATCCTACGCTATAAATCTTAAACTAAACACAGAACAAGTGCCAAAAAATGTCAATCAACAAAAGGCTATTTGGTGAAAAAAAGGTTATTCCTGGTATACAATCCACAGTTGGTAAATTTGTGTAAATTTGATAGCATTGAACTTTAAACTAATCTAAACACATTAACAATACGTAGAATGAAAAATATGAACCTAATATTCCTGGTCCCTACCTCATTAACCCAATGTATTGTTATGACTAGTATCTACACTAGTTAGACACATACACTGGCAGAACAAAATACTGCATCATATAGACTGCCCAACTGGTACATGCTACATTCTCACTCCTTACCTGTATCATGTCTAATTTTTTGTTTTGTTTTAAAGTTTTTGATATATATAAACTATTTTTTATGAACCCTGATAACCTATATATAACCTGGTATAATCAACAAAACTCTCCTGTACTCACAATGCAATTTATTTTATTTTACTTTATTTGAACATTTTTCAAAGTTAGAACGACTTCTAAAGTGGATATCACAATCAACCTGGCAAATCAGGCACACCAAAATAATAGCAGATGTTTAATACTAGTTACCCAAATTTGAGTTGCCTTTCTTGCTCTAAACCATGAAGATGCCTTGCTCGATTTTTAAGCTCCTCTGCTTTTTTGTCATCCTTCGCCGTTCCTTCACCCATTTTGTACATACGACTTGCATTGGCACAACCCCACATGTGTCCCAGCTCACAGGCCCTGTTGGCATACTTTAAAGCTTGTTCCATATCATGAGGGAAACTTTTTGATTTGCCTTCAATGAACAAGCCGCTAAGGTTGAAGCACGAAGGAGCATAGTCAGCAGCACAGGCTTTCTCATAGTACTGACGTGCTGCTGTCAGATCAGGCTTGCCTTCCACAGCTTGTCCATTAAGAGTCAACAGGGCAACGTTGTGACAGGCAATAGGAGCGCTCTTTCCACCAGAATTGCAGGTCCGTGAAAAATAAGAGTATGCGGTTTTCAAACACTGGGTCAGTCCCCCTGGAAAAAAAAGTAAGAAAACAAAGAACATTACATTATATTTGTCATATTTAAATTTAGTATTGTTATTTATTATTTTATATTTGACTGAAGTCAATAATGAAGTCAAACTTCGCAATCAACCCCTTACACACCTATGATCACTTCAGTGTGTCATCTTAACATACCCCTCATACATGCATGTTAGACCTGTATGAAGCTGTACCTTTTCCAGTAATATGGTAAGTCCCCAGTTTATAGCAGCTGTCTCCATGTCCATTAGTTTCGCAGTTGTTTTTGAGCACCTGTGCTGCTGCTTCAAAGTTCTTCTTCACTCCTTCCAGGTAGTCTGCGAGTCTTTGGCAGCCTATTCAAAACATTTTTTTAGGTAACAAAAGTTATGTAGAGCACAATGTATGTGCCTATTTACATTGAGTAAATAGCTCATTGTTACCTTCGGGGTCCTTCTCGCCGTGGCACTGAAAGCTGTACTCCATTCCTAGATTATCCAGGAACTCTTTTACTTCATTTTCATCTTTGAAGTTCACAAGTCCAGCCATGTCTCCGCCTGTATCCACACGTGTTAGCAACGACAGAAGGTTTTTAACATGCTACTTATGACCTTGGAAGATGTGTCAGGTGATTGCAGCGTTTCTTTAAAGAAAATAATGAACATAATCACATTCTAATGCATCACCCAGCCACTTAAATGTCCATATAGCTGTACATTGTGAATGACATTAAAGGAAAGCAAAGAAGAGCACACTAATAACCGATGCTTCTTGGTTCCGCACTGACGTTAAGTACGTTAGGACGTAGCTTCGGCCGCTGCCACCCAATGCTACGTCATGTCAACGTCGTCACCATATTGGTCCGGGCAATAATAAACACGTTATAAACATACAAATCTCCCGTTTGGATAATATTGGCTGTAATATATGCTGTGTTTTAATGCATTATAATGAATTAAGTAAAACACACTAAAACTATATGGCATCCTAAACAATTCCTGTCTAATCGTGCAAAAGTCACGTATGAGTGTTTCCAGGAGGTCAAATGTGTGACACTGTTATTTTTAAACTCTTTACTTTTAGGTTATTTTGAGCTTGTTACGCGTTGCATTGTGAAGAATGTTTTCTGGGTTTTATACATAATTGTTATATGTTTGTATTGTATTGGGGCTTTAGACGTGTTTTACATGCAGCAACCATCCAATCGGAGGCTATTACCTTTGACTAGTTAAATCCAGGTGGCGACCTTTTTTTTTTAGCCAGGCAGTGTATTTAAAATCCCCTCTTGTGCTTAAGCATGATGCAAACCCTATATTTACTTCAGTTTGGCCAAAAAATGCTATTCCTTACAAACTTCCGTTTCACCGCCCCTTGTATTTTTTGCTTCCGGTGCTGCGACCTTTGTTTACGGTCTGTCAAGGCAAAAATAGACTCGACTATCTTACGTGGAAACTATACTCCCCTTCAGCCAACTGCTTTATTGATTCCATTCGCTGCAGTGATATTTAGTCGATATTGTTTTCAAAATGATATCTGAGAAAACAGCGTGTCGTTTCAATATCTGCTCTCAGAGCGATTTTCCACAGAGAAGGCAACAACAAGTGAGCTAGCCTGACGCTGACGCTGCTGCACGGTCACCGATTAGCATCACTCCGGGCTTTAGACATTATAGACGGGCAAATACAGAGGCTCTTGACAGTGGTAGAAATAGACACCAGTCTGCTACGTAAGCTAAACTTGGAGTGACCCTATTTGAAAGTAAACCTAAGACCATGGCCTCTAGTTTCTTAAACATGGTAAGTTTTTTTGGGTTCACTTGTTTTTATGAAATATCTCGTGACGCAATTGTTATTGCTATTTATTCATTGTTTTTATTAAGAGTACTTATAACTTCATTAGGCTATGAGTTACCGCTGCAGTTGTAATTCAACAACGCTTTGAATACATTGACGTTTCAACGTTCGACTCTTGGACACTGTCAGCGTATTTGGTACTTGGCACATATTTGGCACAGCGTAACTATCACTAACCCAAAATAACTCAGTCTCTTGTTGACGTTGCTATTTTTGTATTGTCTCTGAACCAAATAAAGAAATCACATAAGCATAAATACCAAGGTACATAAGGTAAGCATGTTTGAAGAGTTCTATTCTCAAAGACGTTTCACCTCTCATCCAAGAGGCTTCAGTTCTAACCGGTGGTGGGGAGTACAGCAAATATATACTCTGGGTGTAACAAAGAAAACAAGGACAACAATGTGCACATTTTTGCCAGGGAAGACAGATGGTTGAGAGAGGGGTAAAAGAAGCCATTTTTGTCAACCTGGAAAAATCATCACTCAACAGAAGAGGTGGACTCAGACACAACCTATCACCCACGTACAAGGCTCTCTTAGGGACAAAAGATTCCCCTCAGTTCCACACAACAAAGAGGCATGTGACCGAAACCATTCTGATGAAGAGCACAAGGACCCATCAGACTCCTAATGACATTTTCCAAGTTGACCCCAACACCCCACCCAACAGGGGGAGCTGAAGTAGCCTTTTTCTTTGTAACACCCACAGTACATATCTGCTGTACTCCCCTCCACCAGTTAGAACTGAAGAAGCCTCTTGGATGAGAGGTGAAACGTCTTTGAGAAAATTTCACGTCCAGTTGCCTAACAGAACTCTTGACCTGGATGACTGAGAATCCTCACAGACATGACAAACGTAAGCAGTTTAATCGGTAGGGCAGTCATTGGTTCCTTTTTATCTTTAATAAACTAGTTGTTTATGAAAAAAATACAAATTGTACAACTACACTATAAAAAGTCATAAATTAATTGTCCCTCTAAATTTAACATTAGGAAATCAATTCAAAATCTTATGTTTTTTTTCTTTTCAGGACGAAGCATCTCCTGCCTCCCTGACAGAACTGTGTCTGACCTACGTGAGCCAGAATGTGGAGTGTTTCTGCGTAAAGCGTCCTGATGGCTCCCTGTGCTTCAGAGAGGCAGTCCACTTCCCACAGGAGCTAGCCGACCAGTTGTTGGCCAAGATGGCTGTCGAAGGTAAACCTACCCAAGTAACCTAGTCCAGATAAGATGGTAGATTGACTGGCCCACAGTCCTCAGCTTGATGGTGATTTGTTGTTTTTTCATGGTCATACATCTATAAAAAAACTAAACTAAAACATCACAAACTTTTACCATTTATTTCCCATGGTTCTATTTTTCCATAAAATTCTTGTCGATTCCTGTGAAGAATTTCCAACCATTAGTTACTAACACTTACTAACTTACTAACCACTAAGTAGTTAGTTAGTACAGCTTACATCACTCCTACTTGTTATATTTTACAGGTCTTTTGAATGACAGCACAGTGGGTATATTTCGCAACGGTGAATCTTTGCGGCTGAGACGAGCCTGCATCCGTACAGCGCGCATCTCTGCAGAGGCCTTCCAGAAAGCTCTGTGTCCTCACCGACTACTGGAGCTGGATGCTGCAAGAGTCAATGCAGACCTCACTATTCATGATATTCTACACGGACTGGCGACCAATAAACATTGTCAGGTGAAGTGAGGTTACACTGTTAAACAACACCACCTCTATCTAGATTCAAACTGATGCTTACCGTGTTCATTTTCCACTCTTTTTCCACCCATCAGGAGTCCCTTCAGCGGCTCGGCCTGACGGGTCTCACCATGTCTTCTCTTGAAGAACCGATTCGGTATCGGTTCAGTTCCCTCCAAGGCCTCCGTGCACTCTCTTTAGCCAACGTTGACTTCTACGACTCTGGGTTAGTGGACGTGTGCTCCCTGCCTCGTCTGGAGAGCCTTGATATCTCGAACACGTCAATCACTAACCTGAGTCCACTGCTGGGCCTGAAGGAGCGATTGCGGTCACTGACACTGCACCAGTTGAAGAGGCTGGAAATGAGCACGGCTCAACTGCTCGGTGTCATACGGCAGTTGGATATACTGCAGGTTAGCAGACTCATTTGTTTGTGTTTCATTATCTTCCTTTTCAAAAAAATATTGCAGTCGCTCTGACGTTAACCTCGTTCGTACAGCACCTGGACATCAGCGATGACAAGCAGTTCACCTCAGACGTGGCTCGGCAGCTGCTTGGACAGCCAGGGATTCTGCCAGCCCTGGTTTCCCTCGATGTGTCGGGAAGAAAACAGGTGAATGCATTCAGAAAAAAAAATGAAGACTTAAAAAGGAAGAGACTCCAGTTTTGCATTGGCAATAACAACTCCATCATGTGTGTGTATGTTCCAGGTGAGAGATGCAGCTGTTAAAGCGTTTGTTGAAGAAAGACCAGGCATGACCTTCGTGGGGCTTCTGGCTACAGACGCTGGCTTTTCTGACTTTCTGTCCGGAGAGGGAACTCTGAAGGTACAATGGGTTTTTAGGATGGCAAAATGAAAACAAGTAACTGTCCGAAAACATATTGTTTTAAAACCATGTCTCACTTACTGTACGTACAGGTCACCGGTGAAGCCAACGAGACTCAAATCTGCGAAGCGCTGCGCCGCTACAGTGAGAGAGAGGGTTTTGTGCGAGAAGCTCTGTTTCATCTGTTCAGTCTGACACATGTCATGGAGAAACCACGGCCTGACATACTCAAGGTGAAGTGAATAATAAGTCTTTTTTCAGTAATGTGTCGTAATAGTATCATTTCAAAGCCCTGGTAAGTTTTTTAAAATAATTTAATAACACTTTACTACTTCTTTTTTTCCTCATCCTGTTGCCTAGCTGGTAGTTCTGGGGATGAAGAATCACCCTGCCACTCTGAATGTCCAGCTGGCAGCAAGTGCCTGCGTGTTCAATCTGACAAAGCAGGACTTGGCAGCAGGGATGCCAGTCCGACTCCTGAGTATCGTAACTCAGCTTTTACTGGAAGCCATGAGGACGTTCCCAAACCACCAGCAGGTAATTGGTTTGCTTGGACTGCTATCTCTGTAGCACATGTTAGCTATGCATCATCAGAGACAATTTTCTGGCAGACAGAGAAAATAAGGCATTGGAAGTTTGCCGTGACATTTAACTGATCAGTACCTTCTACACATTAGCCTGAAAACAAAAAAACTAAAGTAAACATGAGATCAAGGATGTTGTGTTTTGCGTCTGTAGAAAATCACTTGTATTCCCTGTGCCTGCAGCTGCAGAAGAACTGCCTGCTGTCCCTGTGCAGTGACCGCATCCTACAGGAGGTTCCCTTCAACAGGTGTGAAATATTCACTCCATATTCTGTAGGTTCTGAAACGTACAGTAAACATCAGTTACTGTGATGTAGTTAAGTACTTAAAAACTAGATAGTAGAGACAAACTATTTGCTTCCTTTTGAAAAAAACAACAACTGGTAAATCACATTTTCAATCTACAGTATTTCCTGGTTATGTCACAATCTCAAGTCTTCAAAAAAAATGGACGACACATAGAAACATAGTTGTACTATTGTCATATATATTCCTCGTGAATTTCTATTTCTTCCATCCTCAAAGTTGAACCTCTACTTTTGCTCTTCAGGTTTGAAGCTGCCAAACTGGTGATGCAGTGGCTCTGCAACCATGAAGACCAGAACATGCAGAGGATGGCGGTGGCAATCATTTCTATACTGGCTGCCAAGGTTCTATATATGCTGTATTGTATTAATGTCACACACACCTGTTTTGTGTTTCACTCAATTAGGGTTTTACACGTTTGTTTTTATCCAGTTATCAACCGAACAAACAGCTCAACTGGGAGCAGAGCTGTTCATCGTGAAGGTAAGATCATCATCTCGTCTGTATTTCTTTTCCCCACTTCCACTTATTATTCTCATTCTCTCTCTTTTTGTCTACCCTCACAGCAACTCCTCCACATAGTGCGTCAAAAGGCTACTCAGGGTGTGGTGGATGCGACCCTGAAATTTACACTGAGCGCGCTCTGGAACCTCACCGATGAATCACCCACAACCTGCCGCCATTTTATTGAGAACCAAGGGCTGGAGCTGTTTATTAAAGTCCTTGAGGTTGGTAACTCAAACTGCACATGCAAGAAAAACAGCTCCGGGCACAGCGGCGTAGTGGCCGATTGTATCAGGTATGATTGCATTTTGAAAGAGGATGACTCACTGTTGTTTTCCCTCCACTCCTCTCTCCCCCACCCCACACTCACTGCAGTCCTTCCCAAATGAGTCGTCCATACAGCAGAAGGTTCTGGGTCTGCTGGTGAGTTTATTACCCTGTAGCCAAACGGAATGCTAAACTCAACATAAAAACCTTAAGTAATCTCGTTTCACCCTGCGCCGTGTAGAACAACATAGCGGAGGTCGGGGAGCTGCACGTGGAGCTGATGGTGCAGAGCTTCCTCAAACACATCAGCAATCTCCTGCGCAGTCCAGAGGTGGAGGTTAGCTACTTCGCTGCAGGCATCCTCGCACATTTGACATCACGTGGAGAGCAGGCCTGGACGCTGGGCATGGAACTACGCTCCTCGCTGCTAGAGGAACTGGTACGAACCAGCTGAACTGCCGCTGGTCCTGTACATTTTAGTCACTTGTTTGAACGTGTTGCCCTTCTGTCTCTTTAGCACACTGTCATCATGCAGTGGCCCACACCTGAATGTGAAATGGTTGCCTACAGGTGAGTCTCTGCATATATGTGTTGTTTTAAATGAACTCGGTTGAACCGACGCGCAAGACGATGGTAGTAAATGTTGTTTCCTTGCTAACTTATTTCTGCTCCGTTTATAATTGCAAAAAACGATTCATGACTAGAATTTTTTATTCCTTTAAGATGTGTATTTTCTGTATGTGAACACACGCAGTAAAATGAAAATAATAATAAATCCTTGTCTCCTTGGTAACAGCTATATTATAAAGTTAAATAAAAAATGATTGTCCTCTCTCTCTCTCTCTCTGTAGGTCTTTTAACTCTTGTCCTCTCTCTCTCTCTGTAGGTCTTTTAACCCTTTCTTCCCTCTCCTGGAGTGCTTTCACACGCCCGGTGTACAGTTGTGGGCAGCATGGGCCATGCAACATGTCTGCAGCAAGAATGGTGAGTCACAGACGCCGCAGTCAGAATCATGTCGTGCGTTTGGTACTATTTGCCAAATCAGTGACTCACGCGTGACCCGTGTGTCTGCAGCTGCGCGCTACTGCAGCATGTTGTTGGAGGAGGGCGGCATGCAGCAGCTGGAGCACGTTCACGCACACCCACAGACGCACCGAGACGTCAGACTGCTGGCCGAGAGCATCCTGGAGAGCCTGCGGCGCCACAGAGCCCGCACGGGACAGCCAGCGCTCTCAATCGCAGGCCGCCGCCCGCCGGCGCAGTAACCTTGCTGAGGTAAAGAGTGACTCTCATGAAGTTGTACTTTTAAAATGTTTGATGTAGAAAAAACACAAAATGAAAGGTTGGACTTGTTACTTTTGAACTTAACATATTTACTTTATAGAGGCTATTAGTAAATTTTTACTCGTGAATAGGAAAAAAACAAATACTTTTATATATGTATATTCATATATGCCTATATATGTATGTGTATACATGTATATATAAATATATATATATAAGCATTTAACTTAACATTGGGGTTCACTTTTTTCCATGACAACTCTTTATGTCTAAAATCTGGTTTGAAATCATGAGTCACAGTCAAAAGCAGACATTTTATCCACAAACCAACAAATTAAGTTTCATTTTTTTCTTTTACACCTACTTGTTTTCCAATACACAAAGTCAGTTTTTAAGGGAATAACAGTAAAAATTCACCCTCACAAAACGACACACGAAGATCAAGAATGTGTTAGATAAATGGGGCCGTGGCCTTTATCTTTGGTTGTCACTGTTCTCTATTTGTTGTTGTCTTAAGTCATACAGTCACAAGACTACAGTCTATTCAAATGGAACAAGTCACTGTTTTTCTGTACTGTTATCTCGGTTTCACTTCTTCTGAAGACTTTCCATTCTTTTACACTGTCCCTTTCAGATAATGAGACTCCCTGGTCGAAAAGAAGAAGTTCTAACTGGGATCTTGTACTGTATGTTGGCGTGCGTGTCGGAGGAATGCATGTCTAATGCACAAACACACTTTACCAAGAAACCCCTTCGAGGCCCACATTTTAGGACAAAGGACTATGCGATTCTTTGCACACCTACACACCAACCTTATTTATTGTCTGTGTTCAATCTAAAACCAGAATATCCGTATGGTAATCATTTAAGGGAATTAACAATAATCAAATCTACTTTAAACTGTTGGTCATCGAAAGCTAAAATCATGAGGTTCTTTTGTGCTTGTACTTGTCATTACGGTACCAAAAACATGTCAGTACGCAAGTACTTATCCTAGAACTATATCCATGGGTTGGGTTATCAATCTGCCAAATACCAACGCTTCTTTTTAATACAGTATATGCATGTCGCCGCTGTGAGCCGAAGCATGCTGGGATTTTTCTAAGTGCTAGTACTGTTCATCTTAGAAATGCCTGCCTGTTGGTTTGGTAGCAGTGGTCTGTTTGTGTCAATCTCGACCCCTCTGCTTCTACATGTCTCCATTTTAGACTTTTATCAGCAAATCTTCACTTTAATACAATTACTTAAAACCATAATTAGAAAATTTGATATCCAAAAATCGCACAAATCTTTTTATGAATTAAAAAACATGAAAGACATTGGAAATGTTTGTGGCCTGATGACGTGAATGGTGACCTTTTGTCTCTCACACGCACACTTTCATCCCTGACTATACCATAATATTCTGTGTGTGTGTGTGTGTGTGAGTATACACATACTTAAGCATCCTATCGTATGTACATACTAGAATTCATCATTTAGGCTTAATTGCATGGCAATTATTTTGTATGTTGCATTGCTTGTTTTTTTTTTTTACTAGTTAATTTAAATACTCAGAGACAGAGATTTGAAGGTCAAGAAAATACGCTCGTACCAGGGATCCAACTATTGTAAATAATTCAATTTTGTTTTTGTTACGACCCTCTGATGAGATAATAATTTATTCCAGATGTCACATGACCTAGTAAATTTCTCTTGCCCTGGGGAGACACACTCGGCTGATCTTGATTAGCTCATTATTGCTCTGCCTGATTGTCCTATGCAAATAATGTCGCTATTAAAAGTTCAATATCAATTCGTGTTACGAGAGAACAACACAAGAGTTGATCGTTTCTTCTTTGTCTTCACCTGAACCTGTGAAGACTGTAATCTAATAGGAGAGAAAACTTTGGGTTTTGAGCTGAAAGTTCAACAAAACTCAGCAGCATCAGCACTTCCAGGAAAGGTTATGGTGTTTTTAACAAAAAATAAAAATCATTACATTCAGTGCACTTTGGCTTTGACAGTGAGAGGTTCCCCAACTTTTAATGGAAAATGTGTATGTTGATAGGAGGATTTTACAATAGGATTTTACAATATATTACTTCCGAAAATTGCCATTAGCCAAACACAAATCACCTCTCTACAGTTAAATGTCCTTGTTTTCAGTGGAATATTAATCACGCAAAATAGAGTCATCGTTTACACCTTTCAACGGAGATATAAAATATACACAGCAGAGTTTTCTTTTAGATGAAGAGCAAATCATTGTTGAAGATTTCAATCAACCGTTCTGTACATACTGTATGTATGCTATGACTGTGCCATATTGCTGCTGAGATTAATGTTTTAATTTTGGAGAAATAAAGAATGTGCATTCCCATAAAAACTGATCAGAAATTAATCTTTACTTTTTATGAAGATGTTGTTTAAACTTACAAAAAAAATACAGAAAATGTTAAAGTTGTTGATATGAATCAAAAATAATAATTTTCTATGTGATCAGACTGCCATGGATTAAAGTGATGTTAAGTAATCCCACTGTTACCATACATACTGTAAATGTTTAAATACCACAATCAACTGAGGAAAACAGCTCTGTCTGTACATATGGTTTTTGCAAATCTTTCACTTATTTTCCACACGACATCTTCATTCATAAAGATTTGGTTCATGTTGCATAGCTTTGGCAATGATATTTGAGCACATCAAGAGGCAAAAGATGACCTAAAAAAGTACTACAACAGAAAAACTCCACAAAGTTTTTTTTTCCCCCCGACTGAAAGAACTCAGAGCCTTAAACAAGTACGATGTGTTCCTTCCCACAGCTGACTTGAATTAAGGTTGAAGTCACCGATTAAAGAACAAAACAACCCCACCAGTGGTTTATAAAGACTTACTGACCAGTCGCTGCAGACCAACGTCTACTCCCCTGTGTACCGTGGAGGTCTTTTCTCTATAAAAGCGTCCATACCCTCCCGTCTGTCTCGTGTGGGTATGACCTGCAAACAAAGGGCAAAGGTTAAATCACTGTTCTGGTGCATGTCGTGCTCAGTGTTGCTTACACTGAAGGCACCTCTGCAGCATCTAGTTGTGTGTCAGCTGCAGGGCTTTGGACTGCTGCATCCATAATAGTACAGTATGAGGGACTAGACCTCCACCTTCCAAAGAGAGACACACATCAGTGTGAGAAAAAGTCCCAGACTTTGGTGATCAAAAGTTTAGTTCTGGGGGGAGAATTATGTTTTTCTTCTCTCATAATTTCTCCAAGATAAAAATAAGTAGAAAGGCTGAGACGACTCAAACCAGTGTAGACTGGTTACAGCAGTAAAAACAGGATCCATTAAGTCATAAATATCAGATTGCTTCATTAATTACAGGCTCAAAAGAAAAGTGCATGGTCACTTTCTTTTACATGAGTAAGGTGTGGGTTTGTCCACTGAAGAAAAGGCCATAAATTGAGGGTAACTTTATGATATTACAGTAGCTAGATTTAACCCAAGTCATGAATTTTTTTAGTTGGTATAAAGTGCATAAAGTTCATCTTTCCCAGGTGAGAAAGTCTACCTACAGGTAGCTGACATCTTTTGAGAAACATTTTTATCCTACAGGTTGATTAAACAGTGGTAAAATAGAGAGAAATAAAGTCAAAGGGTCAAAAGAAGAATTAATTAGTTGTTATATCAGTGTCATACTAGTAATGCTGGTGCACACTTCAGGCAGGTAGGTGGCAGTACACTCCAGACACATAAACAACTCTACCAACTCACCGACAAAGTCAATATTGTCTTGTATGTGGTGTTGTATTTCATAATGTTCAATTTTTTTACCAAAGCTATCGTCGTGAAAAAGTAAGGCAGGAGTGGCAGAAAAGTACATGAGGGTGGTGCATCTTTACAAGCCTCCTGTATGTATTTAATATGGATGGATGCCTACCTGAGCATAGCATATTCTCTCTATAGCCATCGCTGAGTTGATGTCGACCTGTGAACAGATGATTGCCAATAAGTGAAGTGAAGGACTAAAAAGAAGGCGTTAGGCTTCATGCTGTTGTACCTCCGATCCTCTGTTCATAGCTTCCTTCGCCATTCGGACAGCAATTGGAGCCTACCAAAGATGTAAAAATAATGGGGAAGGGGGTCATTATGTGACATCATTAAAATTTACACACTGGCTCCAGAAAAGTGAATGTATACCATCCTGATCGGAAAAGGCACTACTTCTTAGAGAAATGTAATTTTAGAATCCACAAGGTTTGTAACAACAGGTATTTCAAGATTTCGATCAATCAAATTAGATTAAGTCAAACAACTGGGTTACCAGGCAAATAGTTTACGCAATTAACTGACTCATTTACCTAAAACCTGTGTTTGTTTACCATTTCTTACACATGTTTGAAAGGCCCACTAGCCTTAATTTGATCCTCCCCTAATGAGGCATAACCTTATGTTTAAGTACCTGGTAAAGGTTAGGATAAATATTTCAGTAGCATATTGCTAATGGTAACTTCAATGATTAGGACTTCTGTAATGTAGGTGTCTGTAAGATTGCTGATTGTGGTCCATTTCCCGTCTTGACCTTCACACCGGTGTAAAGCAAAATATATAAAAAAGCTTTTGAAGAGGTGAATAAAGGCGGAGGATAAAGATGGGAGAACAAGAGAAGAGAAAAGAAAAGAGATGGAAAACATTTGGACCAAAACCAAAGCTGGATCAGTGTCTCCGCTCTGGAAAGCTGATGTGTTTGCATTCAAACCTGGGGCAGTATCTCCCTGGCCAGACTTAGCGCCTCTCTGTATGCCGCATCTCCTTCATGGTTCTGCATTATGGCTCTGTTTACGAGACCCATTTCCAGAGCTGTCTCCCCTCCCACGCACCTCCCTGGAAAAAAAAAGTGAGAGAGATGTGACGCACTCAAACCTCCACTAAATAATAGGTGACCTGCGCTCACAGCACCGTGTCAGCCTTTCAATAATACCACCTGTGAAGATGAGCTCCTTTGCCAGAGTGATGCCCACCATCCTTGGCAGCCGCTGACTGCCCCCTGCAGGAGAAATCACCTGTAGGTCAATTCTGTTTTCTTGACTGAGCTCCTGTCTGTGACCTCTGATCATCTTACCTGCTCCTGGCAGCAGCCCCCGCGTCGTCTCTATCAGACCCATCTGTGCCGAGAACGCTGGAACACGCACACACGTCCAGAGGACGTTTGAAGGTCAGAGTTGCTATTAGTCTTAGGAAAGCATTACGTCTGATTCTATCAGAGTGGGCTGTCCGATTCAGCAGCAGAAACAGCTCAGCACGTGTCTGACCTCTATCTCGTGTCGTCAGCTTCTACTTAAAATGCTGACAAAAATGTTTAACTCATCCAGTGTGTTACATCAAACAAGACGGTCTCTGGCCGAAAGTTAAAGCAGCTCTTGATAATGAGATAGGACAAAAATAGATCCTGATCTTGGATATTTGTACATGCCTTGATTTGAAATTGATTTTCATTCTTATGATAATTCCGCAAAATCATAAATCTACATCAAGCCACAGCAGTCATGTGTTTGTTTTCTCCTGCTGCCTGGGCATGAGGATGTGAAATCTGTCCCCCGGTGACCTTTGTGGACTCACTAAACTGATATGACTGGATCTGTGTCAGCAGTCTAGTCACATTTAGAGGAAATTTAGAGGAAAGAAGAACATTATTAAAAAACAGTTTGAGTATTTTTTTTCCCCATGATACCACCCTTCTCTGTTTCACAGCAGAAAAGTAAAAGTTCAGGGGTCACTAACCTGCAGTTCGTAGGTCACAGGCCAAAGCAAGCTCCAGTCCACCGCCGACAGCAACGCCGTCTATTGCTGCAATGGTTGGCATGGGCAGCACAGCTTCAAACATAAGACAAAAAAACCCATTTAATTTAACATGGACCGAGTGGTCCTACTTGTCCTGGTCAATTGCAATTGAAGGCTGGCCTTCAAAGTCTTAAGTTCAGGAAGGATACTTTAAGACAGTTCTTTCTCTTACCATGCCCAAAATATTGTTGCAAATGTCATGAAACATGAACTGGATCCTCAAAAAAGCTCTGCTGTGTATGTTGAGTTATCGTGAAAGAACCTTTTAGCACCGGTGTTTGTACTAATGCTGCGTTTAGAGACCTTCACTCTTAAGCTAGATTTATTAAACTAGTACTGATCACACAGCTGTTCAAATACTGAATGGATGTGAAGCGTTAGGGGCAGCCTTCATAGCTGACGTCTTCTGACCTCCTGCAGCTTCAAGTAAAATCTCGAAAACATTTACCAGATGCCATCACTAACTGCTGCATCTGCAGTTACACGCTGAGATTACTGGTTCTGTTTGTTACCTATTTGGGTCATGAGAGAACGCAGCCCGTGAACAAACAGGTCAGATTCACTGTTGGTCATCACAGCCCTCTCCTTCAGGTCCGCACCTGTAGACACGCAACATAACGTTAACAACTCGATGAATTTGAACTGCAACGTTTCACTTTTTTTTGACGACTACTTCACCTGCGCAGAAAACCTTCGGAACCAGACTCCTGAAGACAACGACTCGGACGGATGAGTCACGTGACAGAGTGGACATTAGTTCGCTCATCTGCACTCAAAAGACAGTGTTTTAGTGTGTGTGTCTGTGTGTGTGTGTGTTTATATCTGCACGACAGGGTAAAGTCAGATCACCTGTGACACAAAGACATGGCCCAATGCATTCCTTGCCTTGTGTCGACACATCAGGACCTCCACTATTCCTGTAAAGAGAACCAACATAACAAAGAGGAGAAATGTATTAAAAATACTTTAATTTCTTCTTTCTACAGCTGCCATTTTATTCAAAGTTTTAATCTAATTAAAACACAGTTAGGCTGGGGATTAATCGTGATTAATTATGATAAATCAAGGTAAATTGTCATACCTCAAAGTTACAAAAAACAACAACAACTATTGAACAGAACGACAGATAACTGCAGGTGAATGTATGTACTTCATATTATTATCTATTATTATAGAAAAATGTACATTTCTTGTTCCCATGGCTTGACCATTGAGCGTTCACAGTTGTTGCACCACTTTGTTCCTCTTTCAATGTCAGTCAGCTGCATGCTTTCCTAGATTACCTCATCCAGAACACACCACAGTTGTACTACATAGTTACTTAATGATTTTACAAAAATCTCAGACATAAAACATACAGACACTTATTGTGTAATTACATATCAACCGGCTAACATATTGTGGATTTAGCTCATATCTCCAACATTACAATGTAGCACAGGAACTATTTATTTGCCTAAATGTAAAGTTATTTGGATAAAGATTCCTCCCTACCATTGTCTGCTCCTTCTAACCGTTTCATATCCACCTCAACGGGCTGTTCCGCCTCTGTGTGCTGCTGCCTACGGCTGTGAGCGCCACTGTGTCCCATTAGCAGGCGACTTCCACCGGCCAACATTGGCCCTTTTCCCCATTGAACCACTGCAGAGGCCAGGAAGTGGGCTCGACGCGGAGGTGCAGCGCTCAGGCACCTCCACATCCAGCACCACGGCCGGGTTCGACTGACAAGAAGCGTTGACATGATAGCAAGTTTATTCTTAATCTGTTTGAGCAGAAAGGTTAGGAAGTGAAGAAGTTTAAAGGAAGTTCAGGAACAGGTTAACCGCTAACAGAGGGCGGGCTTTTGCGGCTCGTCACGTGACCTTCAATGACGTAGCGAAATTAGTTCAAGTTTGGGCTCTGAAATTGTTAAAGTTTTAAATTCAAAGGCATCCTCTACTCAACGTGACATTTTTCCACTGTATATTTGTAAAAACAGAAATACTTGTCTAAATGATGTAATAAAATAAAATATGTCAAGAACATTACAAGTCAGTATAAGTCGAAGCTTCATAAAGTTGGTAGATTTTAGTCATTGCTGTGCTTTTTGACAGTGGCTCGTAGGTCGAAACACGTCGAAAATTAAATTTAAATCTGATCAATCTTCAATTAATTAACGGCTTAACGCCTTCATTGCGACAGCCCTAAAATAAATACATCCACTTAGTTTATTGTTATGGGTAATAAACAGTAAGTATGCCTGGCAAGGCATTAAGCTGCCATGTTGGAGGAGAACAAATTGAGGCAATTAAACAGTAACATTAATCTCAACCACATTTAAAAGCCCAATAAAAGTTGTACATTTAATTTTAATTATTATATATATATATGTGTGTGTGTGTGGGGGGGGGTCCCTGGCGATACAAAAGGTTAAAGACCCCTGCTTAAGGGTGATCAGACAAAGAGAGTTGTACAGGTACAATTTCAGTCCATGTCTAGTCTGACCATGAATTATTGAGTGTCTCTTTACAGGTTATGCAATTCCTGTCAGACAGTGAGTCTGATCTGGAGTTGCAGCAGTGTGAGAGTGACAAATCATTCTCTCTCCCTCACCCTCTCCCTCTCCCTCTCTCTGTCTATCTATTTATCTATTTATCTTTTGCCATCTCTTCACCTCTTGGTTGTAAGTGCATATGCACATATTTCATCATTGTATAGAAACCTTTCATTGATTAAATGCATTTTTATATAATAAACTACATTAAATTATAGGTGTAACATAAGATATTTGAAAGCATCAACTTATTCAGTTGTATTTGTCACAGAATTCAGTAAAAGAACATTAGAAAAAAAAAAGGAAAATGCACAAAATGATTGAAGACCCAGCCAAAAGGAGAAAGGTGTTACGTTTAGTTGTTACGTCTGATGAGGTAAAGCGAGAGCGTTCACATTAATAATGATCTGCAGCTTGTGTTGCAGCAGAGTGAAATGTCACCTGCTGGGCTTGAAGAGGAACGACATGTTTCGATTTGATGTCTGACAGGTGTGTATTTCTCGTCTCTGTGATGGAAAAGTAATGTGTCTGCATCTGAGTGGTGGATACTGAGATCATCAGGCGGTTTGTTGACACCACGTTCGAAGTTCAGTTTGTCCCTGAACTTAGAATGCTCAGACTGGACACACACGCACACACACACACACACACAATGACGGAAGCCACGAGTTGACCTAACCATTCATTTGCAAAACAGAGTATCGTATTAGATCAGGTAAACTGTTGTGTGACTATCGACGGTGTAGATTTGAATGTTCACAAAAATCACGCAAAATGCTCCCATTTAATAGGTTTTTAATCAGACCCCGTGTTCATTCTGTCATCTGAAAAATTGTATCTTCTATTTCATATCATGCTCTTTTGGGGGGAAAAAAAGTCTAAAACGAACAAACAACAAAACAAAAAAAAAAACAACAAATAAGGCCATTATATTTAGTAAAAGTACATCTGTTTTTTCACAAACGACTTCAGTTACTGCATTGACCTCTGGTTTTTTCCACTGCTTCTTACAGTGAACCTTTTGGCCTGAGTGGCTGAACTAATCCCTTGTGTTTCCACCAGGGCTTCACTTTACTCGATTGTTTCATCAATGTTTAACACATCTGTTTTTTGCTTATAGCAAACAAAACCTGCCTTCACGGGTAATTTTGTCAGTACGTTTTTTGCCACTGTTCACTTTAGTGATGGGTTAAAGCAGAGGTCACATAGTAGTTCACGTTCCTCTCGACGTCAGGTCCCCACTGAGGCTGTGAGCCGTTTGCATTGTACTTATTTTTCCTCTTTAGGCTTCGAAAAAAAAGGTAAATTCTTCGAGCCGGCACCTGCGGAACCTATTTTCCACTTGAACTGGGTCAAATTTCCACCGAAATCTAAATAGACAAAAGTTCGAAATATACAGGCCACAGTCAGCGTCACCTGAAACATCATTGAATTATTCAAATAAAAAGTGCATTATTTTTGTGTGATTTTTAAAAATAGTAATACAAATACTCATGATATAATATTAGTTTGAATATTATTGTCATTATTTCTAGAATTATTTTATTGCTATTTATTATTCTATTTTAGATTTAAAAAGTTTAAAGTTAAGTTAAAAATACTTCCACATTAAATCTTGCTCCAACAAATATAGCAATAAATCCTCAACGCTTTAATGCATATTCATCCACAGTTGGAAACAGTCCCAAAAGAATAGCCTGTAAATTCCTCCAGTTTGATTGATGTTGAAAACTACTTTGTCCACTGTTAAGTACTGTTTGTATTTTTCTTTTCTTTTTTTTAAACAAAAAATACCTATTCATCTGGTGGTAGTGAAGCTGTACATCTATATATATAAAAAGAATTTGCCTGCAAATCTAAAGGTAGAAACTGTACTTTTTTTATTTGTCATTATATTAGCATGAATACGGTAATGTGATACACCTGATAAAAAAAAACCTCAATCTGTCTTTTTTATAGCCATTCACAGACATAACAGGCTCTAGGCACCTATAACTGTAGCATGTGCAGTTAGCATCTCACTCACTTCATCTTATTGAACGTAACCACGCAGCAGGGACGGCAGGGACACATTTACGAGACGGAAAGGTCACACTGTTGAAAAGTTCTTGTGGTTTCCGGACAAAAGGCCAATGTAGCGAGGTGATAGGAATGAGTCAAGGTGACGGACGCCGCTGACGGAGGAGATGCTATTCTCGGGGTGAAGTTTAGACTTAATCTCTGACCGTTGACAGCTGACACTCTACAAAGGCCTTATTAAAAAATAAAGATGTTAGCCTGCACCAGCAACACACACACTAAGACATGGTGTTGACTTTCACTGGATTACACACACACACACATATATATGTGTGTGTGTGTGTGTGTGTATATATATATATATATATAATGCTAAAGCATTATTTTCCACACGAACATGGTTTGAATGCTAATTTTTTCTTTGTCATTTAACCACGTGGGGGACAGCTGGGGTCTGAGCCATCAACTGAGCTGAGCATCAACAGCCCTCCCTAGTGAGTGCTTCACTGGCTGGCTAAAGCTCGGGTTTTCCTTGGAGCTATCCATACAATATTGTGCCTAAATCAGTTTTATAAAATTCAATTTTTAATGCTGTTTGATTCAATGCTGTTTCATTTTTATTTGGCTTTAAGAATTATTACTTCCCCATTCGTCTTTGGGTTAAAACAGACAAAATTCAGATATCAGGTAGTGGACGCGGGTGAGCGCAGTACAATGAGTGAACTGTAGGTGGCCTCTTTAAAGAGCGTCAGATACAATAATTCATAGAAGAAATGAAGCAGACTCACATTGATGTGCTTTTAGCAATTACGCTCGATGGAGCTGAGGTTGAAACGTTAGACGACAACCAGAGCAGACGTACGTCATTCCTGCCGGGGACTCTCTCTCTCTCTCACACACACACACACACACACACACACACACACGATGAAGAAGAGGTGGAAACAGAAGACGGGGATCAGATAAAAGTGGGAACAAGAACAAAAGGTGTCTGCAGTGGGAATAGACCAAGTGGACGGACCTCCACAGGAGCAGGTCAGCAGGTGGTTTACACTGAGTGCGAAGAGGGTGGAAGGTGCCAGTCAGTGACGTGCAGGTGACTGACCAGGTGAAAGTGATTAAGATGAGTGCCAGGAGCCTGGCACGCAGCCTTTGACGTGTGTTTTTTTAACTGACTACTATTTCAACCACAAAACGTTTCAATTCCTAAATAAATAAATAAATGACATAAGGTTAATTTCATTACGTCGGTAATTTTGATACACCTCCGTGTACCACAGACGAGGCTAGGTCATCTTGTAGTAATTCAGATGGATATATCGTACCCGAAGAAGATTTTCAGTTTTCTTGAAATGTCAGTTTTTTAAACTTTCATTTTGAATCCAAATCACAAAAGAAAAGTTTTACCCCTCAGTCATCAGCATTAGACATGATATATGAAATTTACAGAACCAGAACAAAAGTTCTAACCTTGATAAATTGAATCCAGGGGTGTCAAACATACGGCCCGTCTAATCGAATCCAGGCGTGTCAAACATACGGCCCGCGGCCCAAAACCGGCCCGTTTGGGCTCTCAATCCGGCCCGCTTACTGAATTTTGAAAATAAAAAAATACACAAACCGCTTACTGAATTTTTAAAATAAAAAAATACAAGGAAATGTTTTATAAAATATATACTTTCATTAAATATGAAAATGTATCAAATGAATCAGAATATGTCACCTACTGTAGAAACACACACACACATACACACACACGTATCTCTGGAAGCTGACACCCTGTCCAGCAGTCAGGGAGAAAAGTTGCTTTCATGATTCTGATCACCAGGCTTTACCCGATCAGTTATCAGCCAACACGATCCAGCAGAGCCATTAAGAGAGAAGAGCCACGACAGAGAAGAGATAGAAACCGACACTGATCAAAGAGGCTCATTTTCCCCGGGGCTGCCCTGTCCCTGTCCCTGTCCCTGTCCCTGTCCCTGTCCCTGTCCCTGCTCCAACTGTTCTCCAGTCATGACACAGCACAGCGAAGGAGAAATAACTGTGGCCCGGCGCGAGCAGCTTGTTTTAAATTAAAAGGATGTCTCTTTAGGTTCTGTAATATTTATAGCCTGTCCTGCCCATGTGGTGTAAGACACCGTGGAGCTGCACCTAGAATTGGACAGGAAATGGTTAGAAACATGTTAGAAGTGCTGGTTTTTAGTTTGGTTTGGGATGGTCTGTGTCCCAGGGCAGCCTTGAGTTTTGTGGAGTCTACTTTTCATCATCAAATTTGTGCTTTAGATAGATAGATAGATAGATCGATAGATAGATAGATAGAGAGATGGATGGATGATGGATGGATGGATTTTTTTTTTTTTTTTGAAACTGAACATATCATTCTCTACACTAACTTTTTGGCAAACCATATATGGAGGTGTACAGCTTCATTGAACAGTGGGCCTTGGGAATTTTGTAGCTGGCCTGACATGTCTTCACCACTGGTTTCTTGCAAGTCCCTAAAGCTGAAACAGGACTTTCACTAAGTAAGAAGAACATAACATGAACAACACTACACCCTCCACCATTTGAACCAGCCTATAGCCAGTGGAGGAGGATAATCAACATGGCTTGGACCGTGTGACCCCTGAGCTAATGAAGAAATGCCACAGACTTCTTTCTTTAGTCATAAATTAATCACTATCAGATCAAATAATCACTTGGACAACTGCTCACGTGTTTAAGGCTGAAAAGAGACTCTCAACAAAACGAGTTCATACACACCTAATCAAATGAAAGGGTTCTCTATTTCAGAGTGTTTGTGTGTGTTTATAACTGCAGTATGAGCAGATGAGGAAGAGAGAGAGAGAGAGAGAGAGAGAGAGAGAGGGGATCTGCTGCACTGAAGTGATGCTCTCTCGTTCTCTCCCTCCCCTTTCTTGCTTCCCCCCCCCTCTCTCTCTGTCTCTCTCTCTCTCTGTCTGTCTGTCTCTCTCTCTCTCCCTCTCTCAGAGCTGTGTGTGAGCCCGGCAAAGGGAAGGACGCACTCTCCACACAGCCCTGTCATGAGAAAGACGTCAGTGCCTGCTGCTGGACAGAGGTCCGGGGTCACATCACACTAGACCCACATTACACCGGACCTCACACCGACAGAGGACACGTGTGATCGTGGGCTCTGTCCCCACGGAGGACATTTTCACGGCTCCACATCAAGGTCTCCGGCTGCCACTGCGCACGAACTCTCCGTCCGTTTGTTTACTTAAGTGAGGAGCCCATGTGGTCCGCCGGCGACAGCTGATCTACAGAGATGAGTCACGAACGCGGCTCACAGCGGCTCACAGCGGCGCAGGAGTGTCCGTGAATCAGCCACGGAGCGACGCGCGCGTCTCGGTCACCTTCCGTAAACCATGCCTAGTGGCAACGTACTTGGGGGCGCGCCACGCTGCGTTTAAGTGACCGGTCGATAGTGTGTTTGATGAGAACGAGAGGACGGAGACTGTGGACTGTGTAAACAGCAGCCACGCTGTCAGGCAGACGCGGCCGGAGCTCTGGAGAAGCCGTCTCGCCTCTCTCCCAGATCCGCACACCAATGCAGGATGCCCGCAGAGCGCCGGGGAGTCCTGGTTCAGCTCAGCCCCGGTTCATGACTGGGCGGCCTCGTCATGCGTCCCTTGCCCGAGCCCAGCGCGCAATCCCTGCGGCTCCTCTTCCTCTTCATCTTCGTGATGGGGGTGGCCCCGTCGCCGGCGCTCACGGCCGGCTGTCCGCACGGATGCGTGTGCGACGACCAGCTCGTGGTCCAGTGCGCCGGACAGGAGCTCACTCGGTTTCCCAATGATCTGCCGCTGGCCACCCGGCAGCTCATCATCTCCAACAACCGCATTGGAGACCTGCCGCCGCTGCAGCTCAACTACCTGTCTGATCTGGCGCATCTGGACCGCAGCAA